AATTTGAGGAGATCGGGTGGTGCAGTTGCTTTCCAAGTCCTGTGTCAGCTTATGCAGGCTCTCCCCTTTAGCATGGACTCTCGTCCTAAACCTAGCCCTGTAGACTTCTGACTGATTTTGGGTTCCGTACCTGAGTTCTAGAGCCGCTACCAGTGCTCTGTAATTGCGTCTGTCGGCTGCTGACAACTTTCCAAGTATTTCCAGTGGTTGTCCCTTCAAGCTTGTTGCCAGATATACTGCTTTCTGCTCCTCTGTCCATCCGTTCATCTCTGCCAGTCGCTCAAATTGTGCTCCATATGCTTCCCACGGTGCTTTCCCATCGACTTCCTGTGGCTTCCTTCTTACTGAATCACTCCTAGTACTGATATTCATATCTGGGATGTGACTTCTAACTGGACTGAATATGTCAGCATTAGGGTTTAGCTGCAGGGTCTGGGAGGGGCTTGTCATTGTCTGGGGCTGGTTAAGTCGATGGTTAATGTATCCTCCTTGTGTAAAAGACAATAGATCATCCTTTAATGTATCTAATTCGCTTTTAAATTTACTAATGTTTTCCATTTGTACTTCTTGCCACTGTTGGAAAGTCAGCAGCAACTACAGGAAAGTCAACACTGCAACTGTTTGAGACTTTCTTCCTGTTTCCTTTCTTGTTCCTGTTGCCACTGCTGTAATCTCTCTTGTTTATTTTCTTTCTTCTCCAACCACTGCTGTAGTCTCTCTTGTTTATTTTGCTGTTCGAGCTGCCACCGTCGCAGGTTTTCTTGCCACTGCTGTTGTCTCTCTTTTTGTTTCTTTTCTTTTTCCTCCAACCACTGTTGTAATTTCTCTTCTCGTTCTTCTTGTTTCTTTTCTTTTTCATCCAACAACTGTTGTAACCTCTCTTCTTGTTTATTTTGTTGGTCGAGCTGCCACTGTTGCAGGTTTTCTTGCAACTGCTGTTGTCTCTCTTCTTGTTTCTTTTCTTGTTTATTTTCTCATTCTTCTTGTTTATTTTGTTGTTCAAGCTGCCACTTTGCAGGTTTTCTTGCAACTGCTGTTGTCTCTCTTCTTGTTTCTTTTGCTGTTCTTGTATTGCTGCCATCAAATCCGCTAAGCTGTAGTTTGATTTGCCGTCTCTCGTTTCCATTTTCTTCTTTTTTTTTTATCCCACTTCTGACACCAATTTGTTACGTCTCCGTTCGTTAGTTGATTTTCTATGATACAAGTCCTTTCTTTATAAAACTTGTTTATTCTTCCTCAATACAACTTTGTAATGTACTTAATTTTCACAGTTACACACACTATAGTTCACAACAATTCACTCACTTTCTATCTCACTTAGACTTAATTGTCCGTCCCCGCCAACTATAGTTTCGATCTCTGTGTTTACTATCCTCAGTTCCCGCCGACCGTAATCGCTGTCTTTCTTTCTCTCTGCCTGCTTCGTCTCCGCTTCTGCTTCGTCTCTGTTTCCACTACTGCTTCGACTCCGTCTGTCTCTCTCACTGTCTAGCGCACTTATATACGATAATACTGCCTGTTATAGAAACTTCTAAGACTCAACACGTGCTACCAGTGTCAATTGACTCCTGCTGTTGCAACACACTAGCGAATCTTCTAGAATAATCATCACGTGACCCCGCTGTCGTAACACACTAGCGAATCTTCTAGAATACTCGTCACGTGACCCCCACTGTCGTAACAATATCTTTGTTCTTCAGTATAACCTTTCTGTATTCTTCACTTTGACTTACTTGTCTTACAAATGTACATCTGAATTTTTACTTTTAGCAGGCTGTTGAGTAAGTGAATCTTTCTTCTTCAGTTTAATCTGACTTTGTGATAAAGTTGTATTTGTTTTTTACTTCAAACTGATTATCAGATAAACGTACACTTATCTGTTCTACAAATTCTTATGTGTTTTCTTAACTTTTGCTTAGGATTTGACAAACATAAATTGTGTTATTGAATATAATTTAGCCATCAGGCAAATGTACATCTTTAGTCTTCACTGTGGCCTGATTATCAGAGAAATATAGATATTTTGTACTCACATTAATCTAACTATGAGGCAAAACTAGTAAGTTAGAAAATTTTATTACAACCTTATATCATAAAAGATCTTTTCATTTGGCTTTATAGTTTTAACTTTTGTTCTAATATTAAGTTGACCATTTTAAAAGAAATTGTTGTTACATAGATGTAAGAGTTTTCCTAGGAAATTTAAAATTTACAAATTATAAACAAGTCTAACCTTTCCAAAATGTCTATCAGTGGATATGCAAGTTTGTACATAATGTAAAAAACAAATTGCTGTTAGACATTCCTGCTTGTATGACTGAAGTTTTAATTAATATATGATTTAGAAAAACTATACAGAACTCAAAGGGTAGTATATTTTTTATGGCATTATACTACATAACTTAATTGCTTTTAAGACTTGAGTAGCCTGGTTGGATATGCACCAGACTCAGACTCTGAGAATGAAGAAGGTTTGCTTGAAAGGATAACATCAGCATTTGGCCAACTTTTCTCTGGTGAGAGTAGTGATGAAGGTCAAAGTGATTCAGAAGAACTTGGAGACGGAGAAGCAAAATCGGATTCTGGAGACACAGAAATGGCTGATGCTTCACCTTTAGATGATGAACCAGTGTTCCTTGATCCTGGTAGAGGTGCAGGTAAGTTTAGTAGCATCAGTAGTTTATTGTAGGTGCATTACTGAAATAATAAAATTTTGTATGATTCTAACTTTTTTTGAGGAGCTTTGAACTCACAGGAATTTTTAATCATTCATAATTTTTACTTGAAACATATAGAAAAAGTTTTATGTTATGGCAGTATAATGCTTAACTTTTTCTATTTATAAAAACAGTTTGTTCATTGTATCTTAAATGACAAGTGGGACTTAGCTTAAAAACACAAAATTAAAACAGATTAGATGGTATAAACAAATCAGTCACGATGTATGTATATTTGCATTTTATGACACCTGTTTGAAGTATACACAACATTTTTACTGAGGATAATCATCATTATTTTAAAATGTTACTTAGTATGAAGGTATTGTATTTAAAATAATGTCTTCCAATAATTAAAGTGTAGATAGTGTGTAAAACATGCAACTAATATAATAATGCCCTTAAACCTCCTAATTTAGATGAAGTGGACAACTTCCAAGAATCCACTGCAAGCTCCTCTTTAGCTACATATATTGTCATTGATTCTTCAGATAATTTGAATCTGAATATTACTCCAAGTGCCATTAATGTTGTGAAAGAAGTGTTCAATGTGAGTTTCTTTTAAGAATCTAAATAAATGTTCTTTGGTGGAATATTTTTTAAATACATTGTAATGTTAATCAGTTGTTAATATGGATGGAACCCCTAAATAAGGAAATTTGTCTCATATGAACTGTTGTTTTTAAATACATAGACATTAATATATTATTAAAGTTTGACTCAGATAAAGTGTTTCTAACTACAAAGACATTGATATATCTAACAGCTTAAATCAAGTAAATGTTTCTTTCTAAATACACAAATATTGAACTTGGATGTATTGCTGTTTACAAATACAAAGACATAATGTAGTGTGCAAGTTTGGCTCAGGTAACTAGCTGTTTCTAGAAACATAAATGTCTAAGCATAATTTAGATATATAGCTGTTTTTTAATGCAAAAGACATTATGCAGTTGAAACATTTCACTTAAATAAGTGCAAAATTAACACATTGGTATTATACTTAAATAAATGCAAAATTAGTACATTGGTTGAGCACATTTATTGAAGGAACAATTGTGCTTATGTGTAATGATTGCTTCTCAGTCTTTTCTAAACAAATCCAAAGAAGACAGATACTTAATACCAGAAAACATGAACAAGCCACTATTGTTGAAGAATTTCCTTGGTCCAGAGTCTACAATATCTGTGTTGGAAAAGGTAAGAATAAAAACAACTTGATTTGATGTCAGATAGAAATATTAGTCATACAGTCAAAGAAAAAAGAACAATGATTTTTGTTTTACTTCTTATTTTTCTAGTTCCATAACTTTGAAAAAATTATTCCATAAAATAGCAAAATTGTGTTTGTTTTGGTTCCTTTTGTACTACATATAGAAGCATCCACTCGTACTCCAGCTAATTCATAATCCACATAAATGAACATTTCATAGTATTACAAGTGTTCTAAATAGCGTTTGTTAATATTTTACTGGTACATATTAACCAAGAAGTAGTGTAAATAGTTCTTTAGTAAATAATGCATTGTTAAAAATAATTTCTTTTTAAATTTTTTATACTGATACCAAGGGTCTGATTCAAGACTGTGATAAATCTAACCAAGACAAGAGGGAATCTTCAATAGCCACCAAACTTGAAATTCTTTTAGGCAGGATTAGAGTAAATTAATCTATGAGACCTTTTTTTTTCTTTTTATTAGCCATATTTTTGTGCACCAGCAATACCAAGTGTTGGGTGCACATATACCCTGATTTTATTACTCATTAGGATCTCTACCAGCCTACCCTCAAATTAAAATTCTTTTAGGCAGGATTAGAATAAATTAATCTATGAGACCTTGGATATGGTCAAATACATCAGTCAAGGGTTTGACTTTGGGTATTCAAGATTCAAACAATTAGAAAAATAACTGGTATGTGCAACAACCATTTCTTTATAATAGATCACAATTTTAAATAAAAGTACTTTCCTCACAACAAGAACATCTTTAACTAGGACTGTACTTGAGGGTTTGGTTATATCTTTATTTATGTAATTTTTAAATGTAGTACTGAGAAAGTGGAGTTCTGAAAAAAACTATTATTTTTTCAATAAACAGTACCACTTTTAATATACTAAAACATTACAGATTATATCAATAAAATTTATGAACATTTTAAGCTCTGTAAATTGAATAATTTGAATGCAGTGAGTTGTGTGTGACCAAAGAGCACAATCTGAACACTTTTCTTGTGCAGTACTTCTCAGAAACAAATCCTTTTTTAGAAAATTATCACTTTTTCAAAAATTTTTTTAATGAAGTATGAATACTGTAATTAGTAATTACAAGCACAAACAGTTGCCCTACGGCTGTCATTTTTGGTAGTTAGTAAACATTTTCAGTAACTTTCAAAAAATTAGGATCCATAGTTAGCTGTATAAAACTGTATAATGCTAGTTCCGATAAAAAATTGTTTAGCTTACAAAGTATAAGGTGTCATTACAGTAGAGTTATTCATTTAGAATTTGCTGTTAATCTCAGGGTTTGTGAACTGTTTATAGCTTAACAGAAAAAACATGTGTACTGCTGCCATCTAGCATTAAGAAACTAAAGGTTACTATATTTTATAACCCATATAACTCTGATTTGAAAAAGTCCTCTGTAGTACAATTGTACTTGAAACTTTTTTTTTAGCTTTGTTTACACTTTATGTATACTGTCATAATTTTTGGTTTATTTGTTAAGAGTTGTACCTGTAATTATAGTTAGAAGAGACAAGTGAATACATACTATTGGAAGAAGCATCAGGGAAACTCCCAGGAAGTACACCTATATCTCCAGGAATAACTGGCATGCTGGTAGACATAACACCCAATGACACAGATGCTGACATCAGTGGGTAGGTTATTATTACTAACTAGGTAATAGTATGTGTTATTCAACAAAACTAACTTCACCAAGAGCTGCATACGTGTGGTATATTGAAATACCATGTCACACATCTTGTTGGTTAAATACTTCTTATGTAAATAAGGAATTCCAAGTGCATGTGGATACTTACAAAGATAGTGCCTCAGATTCTCTGTTATACATAAGCATTTAGAAGCATCCTTTCATACTCCAACATATATGTACGTGATGCACATACATGAATATTTGATAGTGTTTCAACTGTATTCTAAACAGTGTTTGTTAAATACCATACATGTACATCAGATGTATATCAATGTTATTAACCAATAACTAGTGGAAATAGTAATTTTAAAATATTGTGGAAATGTGGTTCACAAATTACAAGTGGGATACTTTTCACTAACAGATAATTTGAATATGAAAAAAATTATTAGCATTAATCAAAACTTGTTTTTGTTTGCTGATATCCATTATAAGTTTTCTATTTCTTTAGTTTGTGTATATTATTGCATACATGTGTCATTTGCATTAAGTAAGCTGTCTAACAAAACATAATTTTATCCTTAGAAATATGAAAACCTTATGAAATACTTTATTAGCTTTTCATCTTACTTCTAAATAACTGTTACCACTCAAACAATGTACTTAATTGTTAGTATTCATTGAATTTCTAAAATTCTCTCACCCAAAACTATCTTGACTTTGATTTCCCCTCTAAGCATTGCTAAAATTTTCAACACTACACCAGTCTTTTATATCCCTTCCTTTTGCACCTTTGCAGCAAAAAGTGCTGATCATTTTGACTACCCTCCACCAATCATAATGTGCCATCTATACTAGCGTATCCATTCCAGCACAATCCACACTTTCTCAGTTGGCATTCTAGTGTATAGATGTGTGTGTTAACTCATTCTCCATGTGACTACAAAATTTTGCTTATGCTTCATTACAAAGTTATATCACTTTCAACTTCAAGTTTCGACTTCATGTGTTTGATTTCCATTGTTTCTACTCATTTGTTTTAGAAATGTTTATGTTTGCCAACTTCTACTTTGTTCATATGAATTTGAGATTTAATATGGCTGATGGAGGAATTCCTGCCATAAGAAAACAATGGTTCTGACACTGGTCCCAGGGTTGATGATGTCTGCTGAGGAAGCACAGGCTTTAGTTCACTGGGAGCTCATGTCTTACGTTCAGCTGAAGGTTTTTTTCTTCCTTTTACATTATGATTTTTGTGCAGAGGGAAATTTTCTTTCTACAGCACTTTCCACCTGATATTGCACTTCCACGTACTCTTCTGGGTTAGGTATTGTTCTTTTTCCCAAGAGATCTGTAGTAAGTTTTCAGTGTGTATTTCTCACTCTCCATAGGTATACCCAAGTTCAGTGAGTTTATGTAAGGTGGTGTGAATGGATTTGATTTCTGCACTTGATAATTTAGGTAATTCATGTCTTTTTTGCTCTGTGTTGGATAAGTTAGATTTTTATACTTGTTTTACCATCTAGGTTCTTTAGTTTAAATGTATGTTTGGAGTTTGATTATTCCTCTGTTTTTGTTTAAATTTTTATTTATTTTCACTGTTAATGTTATTTAGCTCGTAAGATTTATTTTATTTACTGCTAGTCACATCTAAATGGGGATTAGATTTGAGTCAAACTTTATTATCATTAACTGGGTGTCTTTTTATTCTCATGTTCTTTGGGGTATTTTTTTATTTCATGTCCTTGTCTTATAGATTCTATGAGTGGACTTATAAGTTTGATATTTAAGGATTGTTTATCTTTTCAGTTCCTTTAGTGTTTTTGTACTTTAGGTGTTACTTATTGTTTTATGTCAAATTTTACAGTTTTGCAGGTTTGTTATTTTTACATACTTAGTAGACTCTACACGTTTTTATATTTTGTCAGTTCATTAGTTTGTTTAGTTTATGTGTCTTCTGGCTACACTTCTGTGGGTTCCACTGGTTCTATCTGAGGGTTTTGCTCCCCCTTTATCCACTTCCCAGTTCTCCTTTCCTCCTCCTTGGGAATGTACCTTGTCTAGTCATCTTGCCGAGTCTGTTCGAGACCTACTATACAAAGGAGCTATTGAATGGGTAGTGCCTGCTCAACCAGGATTTTACTCCCATTTTTGTGTTTTATCAAAAAATATGGGAGATTGGAGTCCCATCATAGATTTGTCCCGGGTTTATATTTATCTGGAGACACCTCGCTTCACCATGGAGTCCTACCTCTCACTTCAGTGTCACATTGTTTTTCATTGGTTCATCTGTGAGGATTCTGGCTTCCAGTTCTAAGCACTGCCGTTTCATCTTTCTTCAGCTTCGTATGTGTTTTCTCGATTGGTACGCTTTTTTGCATGTCATCTTCACTCCCTGGGTCTTCAGACTCACCATTACATAGACAAGTGGCTTCTGCTCACCTTTTCCCATGCCCAGTCAGTTATTCACACCCGCTTACTTCTTCAAGAAGCTGCTCAGGTGGGGTTTCTCATCAAATTGGAGAAATCCTTTACTACCCCTTTGCAGCATCTTATTCATTTAGGGTTCTCATCACTTCCATTTCAGTGTGGGCCCAGCCTTCTCCACTTTAGCACAGGGATATGGAGTGGGCAGTCATGAAAGCTATATCTTCACCTTCTCGCTCCCAGCATGTGAGGTTTTATTTCTTTTGTGAATGTGGGCTTCCTTGGAAGTTCTCCTTCCCTTGGGTCAGTTGCACATAGATTCTCTTAATTGGATGTTTTTCAACCAGTGGAACTTCCCCCACAATCCCTTGGACCATCCCATCTCCCTTCCACCTGGGATCAGGACCGACTTTGCTTGGTGGCTCGACAGGGACTTGACCATGGTAAGGGTTCCCATTCCTCCATCTTTTTCCGTGTCTCATCTGTTCACAGATGCTTCCTTGGTGGGTTGGGGAGCTTTCTTTGATCCTCCAGAGTTTCAGGTTGGTGGTCAGTTGAGGAGGCTACTCTCCATATCAATATTCTGGAACCTTTGGCAGTTTATTGAACTCTGTATCATATCCTCCAATTTCTGCAGGGGAGGGTGGTTATAATTCATTCTGACTATTACACTGTTGTCAGCTATTTCACCAAGCAAGGGGGAACCAATTATGGATCTCTGTGTTTTCAGATTCCTGTACAAGACCTCCTGGAGTTATGAATCTTGTGGCCAATTGCTTATCACTTCCCAACTTGGTTCTCCCACGGAGTGGTCCATTCTTCCTCAGGTATTTCTGTGAGTGTGTTCTTCACTGGGAACACTGCATATATATATATATATATATATGTGTGTGTGTGTGTGTGTGTTTCCCACTCAATGGAATGCAACCTTCCTTCCTTTTTGGTCTCCAGTTCCTCACCTGTCAGCTCTTGGGTGGATGCTTTCAGTCAAGATTGGAGGGGTACTTCACCTATATGCCTACTCTCTGATCAGACTTCTCTTCTGGATCTTTTCACAAATATCCTTAACCCATTATCTTTATGAGGGTCACCTTTTGAAAGAGATAAAGTTTTTGGGTTTTCTGAATTTTGATTTATAATATGTTTGATCTAATTTTGTGTTTATCAATTGTTTTTAATATTGTAAATAAATAGTTTCATTACATGAAAAATAAGTTGAATATTGGTAGTCACATTTCATAAATAAAATTCAGTACATGAAATAGATTGTTATTTGCAGAGATGAAACAGATGGCTTTAACTTGAGAGCATTTTTAGCCAAAAGAAAAGATGCCATTGTAGATGTGTCATCAGCTTATCTTGAGGAGAACATTGAGGACTTGTATAGAAAGACCACAAAAACAAGAATTTCTGTGAAGGTAAATATGTAAACATTTCAAGATAAAATTGTATGCAATTTTGATATGTAAGTAATCATACACACATTTTGAAGATATATGAAATATTGTTATAGAATAAGTCATGCATACAAGTCTGTATGAACATGTAAGATATTGTTACAAAATGTAGCAGTAATTATGTTTAAACTATCATAAATATTCTTCTTACATTAGCACTGTCAAAAGTATCATGTATATTTTTTACAACAATTACATTTACATGAATGCATTGTCATCATCATTCAATATCGGTATTTATTTCAAGGTTGAAGGATTTGACATTCTACAATGCCCCATGCCTCATCGGGCTGGAGTCACCATGTTTGCTCTTCAGCCAATCAGGGTAATAGTTTTCTTTTTTCACAAGGTTTAAGCAGTGATGTTGGTTTTAATTGGGTGGTCAGTACCAATTAAGTAAAACCTAGGTATGGCTTAGTTTACAAACTCATATAATACTTTATATTGAAGTATACTATAAAAACATTTTAATAATTATTTCACAATAATTTTTTCGTTAGATAATTTGATACTTTTGATTCAAAGGTCATTGAAATTTTAATAATTTAAAAAAATTACTGATAGCATTGTTATTCTGAATATTACTTTTTATAAGCTTAATATATTTGGTCACTGTATGTAATTCATTCATTAGTTTGCAGAATGTAACCTTTTGTCTTTCTAGTCACAAAATTAACTTTATATATTTAGTTTGTTTATTCTTTTTTTTTTGGTATTCTTTTTATTTTATACAATATTCAGTTTTTAAGTTGAAGAAATTAAATTACTAAAGTACATAATTTTTGTGTTTATGTGCATATTACCAGAAGCAATTGTTGTTGTTGACTGTGAACCACTTATAGATTAAGGTCCCCAAATGTTATGTTATCTTTTGCTGCAGTGTTAAAGTTATGACTTAGAATAATCCTCATGTCATCTGTTATGTTGAGAAGATCAAGAAAATAATTTGTGTAAAATGTAAATGTATTATAACCTTGAAAAATTCTTTCTTTCATGATATGCTGTTAGTTTTCTGAAGAATATTTTCTTGGATCATTTTATCCAGTTTACTCTGAAAGATAAATATTAGAATATTACAGTGTAATGCCTTTATAAAGACACTCACATATTTTGTGACTCAGATGTCTAAAACATTAATAGTATTAGATATATGTATTTGTTTGAATGGCATAATTATGTTATGTATATATATATTAGGTTCAGTATGACCACTGAATTATAAAATGCCATATGGATTTAGATTGAAAGAGAAAATTAAATTTCAGCGAGAGTTTGGATTAAAGTTCTACATAATGTTTATCCCTACAGTTCACATTTTCATTGTCTAGATTACTTTGACCTCCAAGAATCAGTAACATTAGTTTCAGTTTTATAAGATCTTCAGGGATAATTTTTTTTTTTTTGAATATGGCATGTGGATGGACAAGAAATATTAGGCCTTATAGTACCTAGTAATAGGGCAAGAACAAACTGATTTTGAGTGGCCCTCATTGGCCAGCCATTTTAGAGACTCCCCCCTCCCCCCCAAATATGGTGAAATACATCATTTTTTTTGCCTGGTAAGTTGGACAATCTCAGATCTGTTTAATAATGTAATCTTAATTGACTAATCAATGTTGGATTTTTACCAAAAGTGTGATGTCTTTGTTGACTCTTTAGGGTTCATGGGCATCTAGACAGAGTGAATGTTTCATGGAGGGATTCTTCCTGATTCATTGAATTTCATTACACAGTGAACCTGAAAGTACACCCCTCTTCAAGAACTTTAACTAAGAGCCACAAAAGGCATCATGTTTTGGTTTGGTCTTATAGTTTTATTTAAATACATAGTAATCACTGAAGGATGGAAGAGGAACAAACTGACCACACAGTTGAAGTTTATGCTTGATCAATAGTTTGAGGCTTTCACCATTTGAGGAATATTTAGACCCACACAGTTAATTTATAATTTTTTTTTGTAATATATTTATGTGTAGCTTATACTCACACACTTAACCTATTTTTTATTTTTTTCTATTTTTGTGAGTTATGAATAATACTTACATTTAACATAGCTTTTATGTTTTATTTGTTTGAGTCACTCATAATACTAACATTTGTTGCTAAATGAAAGCATGATCATTAGTCAATTTCTGATCCAGCAATCAATTTAGCATATGTTTTGTTTGCAGCTGCTGGAATAGCTTCTAACTCATTAAATTCATCTTTATCCATTAATTTTGGTTTGGTTTTTCACAGTACATTTGTAAAAGAGGTCACGTTTATGTCACTGATTAAATGATAATTTTTTCCAAACTTTTTTAATTCTTGGCAAATTTTGTCTATGTATCATTTGTTTAATTTTCAAGGTAATACCTTGAGATACCAGCTTGTTAATTTATGTACATGCTTCTGTCCGGCAGCATCATTTAGGACTTTTAAATTCATATCAAACCAGATACTATCTTTTGTGAGAGCTCTTGGGTCTTCACTTGCAACTTTTACATTACATTTCTCATTCTGCTTGTCATCATCAGAGCTATCACTTTCTTGGGAACTTTTATGGTTCTGGGCCCCTTTACTGTTTTACTCCTCAGCTGTTTAGGGAGACAGTTTTTCACTCTGAGAGTCACCCTTAAAGGATCTTTTATGCTCTTCTTTCATTCCCTCCACGATTTCTTTAAATATTTTACAGTGAAATTTTTTTTTTACATATTTTATAGTTTGGCATGATTATAGGAGAGTTTGCAAAGACCAATGCTAAATGATTGAACAGAGATATGTGTCCCTTGTATACTCCTAACAAAGCTAGTAATGAACCAGATCAGAAACTTGTATCTGAGAGCAGGCTCAGAACAGACTCAGGTTCATTGTTAGTTATTCATGACATGCTGAAAGTCATTACCATTTACTTAATAGCTAGCTATTCCAGGAAATAATAATGTTACACTAATGAGCAGAATGAGTTGCTCTTAACTTTATTCGTATGATAATTATAATTTACTCATAAGCACTGAGGTTCTCTTTACATCATTGGCAGATTATGATACCCTGATGGCTTACATATCAATTCACAATCCTCTCAGCTTTGTTGATATGATTTGTTACAAATATTACAGCAAAACAGGTGAGCATATGACATTCATCCTACTAGTCTCATGACCATTAAAACAGGATAATAAATACATTACTTTCCTTTTAATTTAAATATATTTTCTCACCTATAGGAAAGCCCTCTGTCAGAAACACTATTTTGACACTGTAATAGGTAAACAACTCTTAAGCATAATTTTCTAGTCTTTTACAAGGTCTTTATGTGATAAACTTACACTAGGACTTTCCAATGTAAGGTTTACATTTCGTGTTTATTTACAGAAAATGGTCACATATGTTTCAATCACTGACATGTCACTTGTAAACATTAGCTAGTGGACTAAGGTTCAACCTTATTTAGGGGAAAAAGAATATCATTCATTAGGAATAATAATAAAAAAGACAGCCATTTATTTTCAAGTTATAATTAACAGTTTACAAGCTGAGTTAACTTGATTGAGTTCTGGCTTCAGTTTATGAATGAGTAACCTCTCTTTTATATGGAGGTTTTGTTCAACAATGGCCCTTAGAGATCTTAAAATAATTTGATTTAGGACTACACTGCATTCACCTTGGGAATGCTGCAGTGCACTCAATCTATATGAGGTTCTTAAGTTTTCTTGTTGTAGAAATGATGTAACTATGGTTACACCTAGATTAGTCAACTACATTAGATGTTTTCAATGAAGAAATATAAACTTTATATCTGAATGTTGATAAGCTGGAATCTGTAAAGAAAAGAAAACCTTTATTGATTAGAAGTGTAACTAATGATTATGTTTTCATTTAGTAATCAGTGAATTAAGTATTCCAACACTGTGTGACTAATAAGAATATATATAAGATGTTTTTATATGTATACACATATTGAGCATTTATTTATGTATCATTAGTAACTTGTGTGTGAGTCTAAGTGTCCCTGATATGGGCAAAAGTCTTCTAAATCTTAGACCTTAGTTCTTTATAACATCTTAAACCCATCACATGGCCAGCTTTTTTTTTCCCCTCTGTATTTTTGTAAGCACTATCTAAATAAATTTTGAATTGACATTATACAAAATAAAAATTGGATGACCATACTGAAGGACAATGTCATGACATGGTGATAAGGCATTCAGACTTATCCATTGTATTGAATTCAACGAGTTAGGAAGGACCACTCCATGAATTATCTACTTTATCCAACTGAACTTGACAGACTTGCAATCTTAAAAAATTATATCTTGCCTTAGTAAAAATTTCATTACTGGTTGATCAGCAATAATCTAAACCATCACACAGATCTGAACTTGCCCAACCTCCTAGAATCATCAGTGATGCCACCAGTGGGTATCCAAAATGGTTGCACCTACTAAAGTCTGTAATTTTCCAAGATGATTCCAAGTGAGGATCACCATTTTCTATGCCCCTGAGCTTTGTCTTTCTTCAGAGAAGGGTAACTACTCAGCTAACAATTTCATGTTGAAACAATATTGCTGCACATTACATATTGGTTGCCACAACGTTAGAGGTTTACGTTGCAGCAACATAAATTTGTGGACTCCCAGAAACGTTGTTGCAACATTGTGGTTTTACGTTGCATTGCTACTTTCCTACAACCATTATGCCATCATTTTTTTAACCCTACTGGTACCACCAGGGTAGCATCATGTCATTACTGTTTTTCTCACACTTATACTTAACCTAATTACATGAAATTTGGTACATATTTTTTATATATGTGCTGCGCTCAAAAACTATAACAATTTGGTGATATTTTTTATTATGAATTTTAATTTTTGGACATATTCTTGTGAAACACATTCTTCTTTTTCATATGAAAAATACTTCATAGAATTTCTGTTTTTGGTTATTATGTGTCTAACATCTTGTAAATGTATCCAATAGTTGTTTTTTCGTTAAAAATAATTTTTCTTTCCTGTATTAGTTCTAGTAACAGTATACTAACTTTCTCGTCTGTTCATACAATCTCTGACAGAAGTAGTTACTGGAAAATATTAAAGAATGAAGGAAAACTGTATTATTGTTGATTAGAAACTTTAAATTTATATATTGAATGAGAGCTGCACACTGGTTATAATAGGGTTAAATCCACTCATTAAGGTAATCTGATAAAATAATAACTCCATCTTCTTTCATTCTCATAAATTTATTCAACATTTATTCTCGATAAGAAATTTAAAATATTTTATTGCAATTATTATTTATGACACTTTTTCACATAGAGGTTTCTCTAGTCATCAGTCAGCTCTTCTTTTTCCACTTAATCATTTCCCCTATTTTTAGTCAGCACTTGCTGAAGTAGATTTCTGTAAAATATACAGCATCATATATATTATTTCTATCAACCTAATTTTTTAAGTATGTAGTGACAGAGTGTAAGAGAAAACTCCATTTTCAATTTCCACTCTAGAATTATTGACTCCAACATACCTCGTACCTCCTGGCTTATTGAGAGCATGTTTCAGAAGTTCTGCCACCTGGTCCTCAATAGTGTTTTCCTGTACCTATGGGTGGGTCTGAAGGCAGGCTTCTGCAACAAACACAGAATTAAAAAGAGAACGTTGAAAATGATTAACTGGAGGATAATTTCTATTCCATTCTCTTAAACACTGAATTTTATAATTATCTCCAAAATTCTCAACTGGTATTGGTACTTTGAAGTTTACTAAATTAACACATATACACACACACAAACTTTAGAATCTATTTCTCATACATTAGTTCTTTTAAGTCATCTCAATGTGTTTCTATTTTAAGGTTTACCATGTTAAAACCAAAATTAACATATTATTCATCAACAATGATTAAATTTAAATACATACTCTTAATGCATTTGAAGAGTAGAAGATTTATGAAGGCCTCCTTTTGTTTTCCTTGTGCCTTTTGCCCTTCAGGTTGTAAGCAGACTACAAGCTGTAGGTGCCTATCTTTTGGCACGTTTAACTGGATTGTTTCCCCACATATGAAGTTTGCACATCATCAAATGTTAATCTCAAAGTTAAACCTAACTCATGGCTACCTGATATCAACAAAACTAGAGGTTCAGTGATATGTTATGCTGTAGAGTAGTGTAATGATTTGTCACAGGTAAACTGGAGGAGACAAGCTACTGTGATGAAGTCAGGAAGAAATTAAACTATTTAGAAAAAATTAAGAGGGAATTTAATATTACAAATTATCACTGAAGTTGAGAACTGTGGGTTTGTAATGTATGTGTGGTACTTAAAGGTGAATGGAAGAATAAAACTGCATTTAGTGAGGAAGAAATGCATAATCAGTCTGCCTATAGTAAAATGGTTGCATGTATGCAGTAAAGTTAAAGAGTGCAGGTTAATAAAGAATCATTCATATATAGCTTCAGTGAACAGCTTATGCATTTACTGGAATTTTCCCTGGAAAGAGTAGTGTGTGGTAGTATTTATTTACTCTTTTTTTCAGTCTCTAAAAATTTTATATGTTGAATGAATAATGAATTAGTACAGTGAACTAGTCTAAAGTTCAGCAGTCACACTACACAATATTGCAACCATTCTCCTAATGTGTATAAATAACCTAATCAAGATCACACATGTAAATATGTGTATATGCAAACTTGTATATTCTAATCATTCATAGAATCACAGTATTTAAAATTCATGGGACAATTAAAGCACCAGAATCCATGAGAGTAAAAATTGGAAATTAAAAATATATATGTCTGAGCTGCAGTTTTAGTGTATATAGTTACAAATTTGCTATTTATGTAGCAGTTTTACCTGTATAATTTGAAGTCAGATTGAAAACACCAACTTCGGCAACAGCATACAGCTTCAAAAAAAACAGTTAAAGATAGTGTTGTATTTTTCTTTGGAAGTTTGAAAATATCCAGATATATTTTTGAGTACAGAATGATATTCTCTTGTGTTGCTATTTAACAAACACCTACAGAGAAGAACTTAATTTTCTCTCTTTTTCTTCTTGTTCAAAACATATATGTATAAAGTCAGTAAAGTTGGCTTACGTGCTTGTCAGTCACTGTTACGTGTCCTAACATTTAGAGTGGAATCAGTAGCTTTTGTAGTTGCCAGTATACCAGCAAACAACATAGATGATGCTATGTCTTTAGAAATTCTGTTTGATGAGGATTTGCTCCATTGATTTATTTCTAGGATGGTAACTACACTATTTCAATTATACTTTTGTTTTTATTTTCTTGTGCCATTTTGTAGAGTGTCGTGTGTGGTGTTGTTCTGATGATACCTGAGAATCAAGCACTTATTTTTGTTTATCCTCTCTATTCACTAGTTTATTTATTATTCACTGTCTTCTTCACAGTGCAGTACTCCTACCACCAGTGTAATCAGCCATGCTTTTTTTATTTTTATTAATAGTGTTTTATTTTAACTTCACACCATGTTTTTTCCCTTTTATTCCACCTACTACAAGTCATTACACATAATATTCCACATATTAATACTTGAATCTCTAGTTATTTTAGAGAGAAGGTAATTGTGAGCAATGTTTATTCTAGAATTACCATGATCCAGCTATCTTTAATGCAAAGAGTAGACATTATAGTTTGAAATAATTAAAAACATTATGTTAGTATAACAAGGTAGCTTAATGTGTTTCATTTAAGGCTGTATACTTTACTGTCCACTAAACTTAAATATGCATACTTTTTTTTTTTCAGAACAAAACTCGATATTATCTCATTATAGATGTTGACATGTACCATGGACAGAAATCTATAACAGTCTCATCACCTTTAGTGGTAAAGTTCTAAGTGATTTGTTTTGTCTTTATTATATTATGGTTTAGTCAGAAGTAATGTTAGTAATGCCTTATTTTTTTTCATAAAAATTTTATTTTTGCAAAAATAAGGTTTAATTTGGATCAGTATCATCTTTAACTCAGATTAAAGATTGATGCTTGGGCTATGAAACTTACTAATTGGGTATGATTTTGTTATTCTTTGATTAATATTGTTGTTAAATTAAGTTTATATGGCTCTTATTCATTTAGACATTTCATAGCACTTGAAAAAATACCTGCTACTTTGATATGATAGTAGAAGAGTTAATATTTGTTTAGAGGAAGTCCATCAGACAGGACTTTTTAGATTTCTGTTGTCTTTTATGTATCATGTCTGCAAGTAATATCTTTGGAAGCTGTATATGTTTTTACTTAAAAGATATATTTTATTGTTCATTTGCTAAAAAGGCTATTTTTATTCTAATGTTTATGTAATTGGCTTAGCTTACTGTTATATATTTTTTACTTTATGTTTTGTAATTGTTTATTTTATTGACAATGGTATTAAAAGATTATGTTTTGGTTTCAGATGTAACTTTGTTTTGGAAGTTCAATATGCTATTTACTGTATATATATATATTTATTTATCTTGCATGGTAGCTAGTATAAATAGTTCTTTACATAAATGAATTCAGTAATGTAAATTTAAGTACTTTGTGTTGTTTTTTGGTTTTAGTTTACATTTGATATTTAACCATATAATGGGATTTGCTCACATAACAAATGATGTTCTTAGATACATAGCCACCTGTCTGATGCTGTTCATATCCTATGTAAGCGAGCTAGACTTGAAGAAGTTGTTGCATCCAGCAACGAATATGCAAGAAATCCATTTCACAATAAATTTATTCGTCTAGTTACATTAGAAAGTGGTGAAAGCTACAATGTACCCTTATTTGTGGCTTATCATTGTAAGCTGTATGTACAACCTGCAACTGTGAAAACTGACAGTTACAAGTGAGTATCAAATATCTAGTAAAATTTCTGAACTGACTTGTTTACCAGCTGATCTGAAATATATTGGTTTGAAACTGTAAAAATTATTTTTGTGTGTTAAACTTTAACATAAGTAGAAACTCTTACTTATTGCAATTATTATGTTCATTTCATCTTTACATAAAAAAAATTTAAGTGTAAAATAAAAAAAACAGTTAATATGTCACTTTCTAAGTAATTTAATCTGGTAAATACTAGAATAGGCCTTCTAGTGTGTTTGAAAATATATCTCCATAGGTATGATGTGAGCACTGAGGGACTCTGGTGGCAAGATATTGCAGTATTCCCAAGAAACAGGAAACATATCACCTGTATAGCAAGTAGTGGAGAAAATAGCCAATACTGTGTTAAGGTACATGTTTGGAAACAGTTTATTTAATATAACTATTTTTTTAAGAGTTAATTACACTTGACAATATATATGTATATTAGTATCAAAGTAGATATAAATGTTCAAAACAGCTAATATATAAATCAAGTTACTGTATTAAAAAAAAACTAGGCATATTAACACAGTTTTTATATGTATCACATTATTTAACAGTTCCCATGTCTATATTTATGATAAATAATTCTACTCATATTTAATTGTTTCACTAAAACACTCATAATTATCAAGCCTTCAAAACTTTCTAAAAACAGTAATTTATTTCCATACAAAATTATCATGTCACTTTTATTTCTATTGCCAAACAATGATATTAATTTAGTAGTTTAATTTTTACTTTCAGACTTCTTTAGTTTCAAATATATTGTCAAACTCTGATTTCACTTCAAAAATGTGCTGTATTCTGCAAAATTTGTATATTTATCAGTGGTTCTGTTTATACTCTGAAACTATTATTATTTCAGTGGTTTCATTTTTACTTCAGACTCATGTATCATTACAATGTTTCTAATGCATGTATACTTCCAAATTCATAACTTCAGTGAGTTTATGTACATTGTCATACTTTTATCTCATATTTTTTTTATATTGCTTAAATATTTTGGTACATACTGCCAAATTTAGCTGTAACTTCAGTGAATTTATTTCTTCTTCCAAACTAAGATATCACCAGTGTTACATGTATGCTTCCAAATTTGTATACAAGTTTAACAGTTTTGTGTTTACAGGAAAACTGAGATATCATTTCAGTGATTCTTTATAACAAAGTCATGCATGTTGCTGGTACAAATTAATGTTATCTGTAGTTTGTATTTGGCCCAGCATATTAAAAACCATGATAAATGAAATGAACATTAATTATTTTATAATTTGAATTCTTATGTTATCTAAGTTTTAATTATATTGTTTCAAAGGAAACCTTTCAAAAAAATACTTAAACTGCAGCTTTGATGTCACATGATCCACGTGCTTTGAAAAATCTTGACTTTAGCAGCATTTCACTTTTAGCAACATAAGCTGACAATGTACATGGGTTTGTTGATGCTAGTTATGTGATATTCAAAGTTCCACAACTATATTGACTGGGAAAGAGAAATAAATTTTCCAACCCTTGACAGTTGCCACACCCACCTTCTTTCTATACTTTGCCTTGAGATCTACAATATATGTGTAGTTAGTTGACACAATGTATATATTTGTTATAAAGATCTCAGTTTACACTGTACTCCACCAACAGTTAATCTGAAATTGGCATGCAGTTTCAACAAATTGTGACTCCAAAAATTCTAGAATTGATATTTTTATTATTACAATTGTTTAGTGTATTTTACAAAGGAAAATTATTTTAAATGTTTTCTGCTTATCTCAAAATGTGCCCATGATGATGATGAGTATCATAACATCAGTGACTGTAATGTTCAGTCATTATGTGATAACTGTAATTTGCTCACACCCCTTCTGTCACCATGATGCTCAAAGTGGAAAGATGAAAAATGTACAACATATCAAAACACTGAATAACATTTTCTTTGCTGACGTGTTTAAACTTGTAATTCCAGTATTTAAACAAAGTTATGCTTTGTTTTGTCAAACATTTTGGTTTTAGTAAAATCATTTGTTGGAGTCTTTTTCATCTTACCTAAAAACGTGTTATATTGTGAGGCTTCTGTATGCTTGTAGAGCCATCTTTAGTCATCTTTCCTTGCCAACACTCAGCACTATTGGGTATTTAAGACCTGCCTATTTTGTGATTTTGTTATCACTTTTTCAAACTCTTGTCTCCTTCTTCCATGATTTGTTATATGAAAGTAGATAGGCCAACCAAGAGTGAAAAGGATCCCCCCTCAAATTGTTGGATACAAAAACAATAGTTTTTATGTCACTAAACTTTCTAGGTGATAAAGCGGACTTTTACTCAATGGAACTGTAGTGGTTAACATTCTAATTTAGGTGACATTAAAGCTTTGTTGGATTTTTATCTTCCTATTTGTATGTGCTTATAAGAAGTATTCTTTAAATTGATGATACTATTTCTATGGAAATTTTGTCATTGATGATAGATATGTTTATGTGGGAATGGCTCTTTTTGTTAGCTTTATGTTTACCCAATAGCCATCCCACTTACCACACAACTGGAGGCCATTATCATGCATGTCTCCTCTTGGTCAAATCATCACACTTTGTTCTCTATCTATCACCAGAGGAAGATATGGATCACACTTCTCTTGATCGCTTAGTTTTTCAACTGCCATTTTTCTTTGTCATCCTGGCAAGATTTAATGTACACAGCCTATTCTGGAACTGCACGAGCACAAATAGAGTAGGATGGAGTCTAGTGGAGCATTTATTGTTGAATAATGTTCTCTTTCTCTTTAAAACTGGAAATATGACATATTTTCATGCCTGCATTTTGACTTTTTCTGCCAGTGATCTACCAGTTTATTTACCTTTACATTCTTTATCCTTTACTTGACAAGACACTACAAGTCATTATTGTAAAATGTGATTAACCCTCTATGTTGTCAGACTTTAATATTACCTCAGTGGTTTCATTTGTACCGCCAAATTTTATGTCAGTGGTTGAAGATATATACTGCCCGACTCAGATATCATTTAAGTGGTTTTGTGTTTAGAGTACATGCAAAAAAACACTACTTGGCTACTGAAAGTGGTACAAAAAAAAGTAGGTTACTAACATGTGGGATGTGGACACACAGACATTTCAAAACTTTCACCTACTTACTTGCCTATTACTGATTTGGCCACATTCAGTAATGGAATACTTGTGTAGAAGAACATGGTTGTAAACATTATTTGTAATAAGTGACATTGTTTCCATTCAGATTATAATTGCCCTTTAAAATGAGCAAATCCTTGAGATTGAATTAAACTTTATTGTCATAATAGCTTAACAATGGGTGTGAATTGAGTGTTTGAAGCTTACTGATCAAAAACATACTGTGGATTTCTTGATTCAGTTTATTTCTTCTATCTGTTTTTAGTTAGTTTTATTTTTGAGAAATTTGCACATAGCAGTATTTAATATTTTCTTCTGGAATGAGAGAATATTCATATATCAATGTGATGGTTATAAATATAGAAAATCCATTATAAAACCATAACAGTAAGCCATTTTTGCATTTCATTTTGTATCTTATATGCCAGTTTTGATGTTTAAAGAAAAATATTTATGTTTTCTATACAAAAGCAAAATGTTTATCTTTTGGCTGAATCTGACACATCATAATCATGCAAATTTGAAACATGGGAGAAAACTAATAACAACAGTTTTTCAACTATTGATATATATATATATAATGAAGTAAATAGCATCAATGCTATTAATTACACAAATTGTTAATTGGCAATTAAAGTCAGCACTGTACAACAACAATGAACTTAATATAAATTGTCAATCCGAGTTGTCACTTTAAAGTCATAACAGATAATGCCTGTGGTAATAGCTCTCAAATGTGTTGGGAATATCTCATCTACCAGACAAAATCCAAATGGTGATGTTAAACTAGCCAGCAAGTATGGAAAATCAACTAAGGGTATGGAATTGAGTGTTTACCCCACAACATCTCAACTCCTACTGCCTTTCACTATCTGCAGCCAGTTGTAGGAAGGCAGTTACCCTTGAAAGTTCTTATAATTCCTAAAGTAGAAATGAAACCACCCTAACATTTGTACAATATGTAACTCCCAACCTCCAACCTTACGAAAGAAGTAAAATAAAATATTAAAAGATCTTAAATAGAACTACAAGCCCTACCTTTATATTTCATACATAGTTAATATATCCAACCTCCTCCTTTTTTCTTAAAAATGTCTTCAAGTACAACATGAGAAAGCCGAGACAAGCCCAGCTACTTGAAGTTAGTCTTTCCATCCTGATATACTGAAGTAAATTATAATTTTAAATTTAGCTACTTAAAAGTAGCTAACGACATCTAGTGACAAAAAGGGTATTTTACATATCTTAAATTTATTTTTAAAAATATTTTCATATTTGTTATAAAACAGTGTAAAAAATTTTCTTAATTACCAGTATTTGTAGCTATTATTTTGTAATTTATTTATGAATAATATAACATTATCCAGAAAAGCATTATCATTATTACAAACTATTAAATATCGTTTTAGCTGAAATATAATGATGCCTTTTAACTCTTCCAGCATGGGTTCAGTCCCTGGGACCAACCTTGTAACCATTTTGTGCTTATTATATTTTTCATGCTATAACTTTTAAATTAGTATGCGTATGTTAACAAAATTTGGCATATTATCAGTAAACATTACAACGCTTTCATATGCAAGATATCAGATTTTTTTTAAGTCTTAAGGTTTGTTAAGTAATGTTTTTCTCATGCCTTTTTTCTTTTTGCATGTTGCCTATCTATCATGCAAAGTAATTTTCATTTTAAGATTAAAATTACTTTTATGCTGCAGGAAATTTTCAAATTTCACATGCAAAATCTTTATAATGTCGAGATAGTTATCAAACATTTCTTAAGAAAAAACTTTATATTTTATTTGTTATTTTCAGTAATGAATCTCTGTACAGGTTTGGTAGATTTGATCGATCTTGTAATCACCATAAAAAATTAGGAAATAAGTATAAGTTATGCCTTTTTCATTCTAGAATGACAACAGATTATAACACAAAAACATAGATATTTAGACTAAATAGCTTAAATCTCATAACATTATACATATATATTTATTATTTTTATCATATTGACCTTTCAGCCATGCCTGGCTAACAATACAGAAGTTACAATTACATTGCACGAGTGCTCTCATGTTACCATATCAAATAACACAAAACTGACCTTTGGTCTTTGTAAAGTAACTTGTCTTGGCTGTGTTTTAGTAGACTAGTATTTTGTAAAATACGGTGAATCTCAATTATTATACATTATATATGTATATAGATTATTGCTATTTTGAAATAAGTTCTT